TGGGTTTAATCCATACCGCCTGCCCACCTCTCCTCCAGCAACCCTCAGTTTGTTCTCTTTAGTTAAGAGTCTGTTTCTTGGTATGCCTCTCTTTTCACTCTGGCTTTCCTTTGACATCCATTTACATGATAAATATTTCTCCCATAACCTCACTTTCAATCTGCAGATGTCTTTAGGTCTAAAATGAGTCTCTTACAAGCAACATATAGATGGGTATTTTTTTTTTTTTATAATCCATCCTGTCACCGTGTCTTTTAATTGGAGCATTTAGTCCATTTACATTCAAAGTAATTCTTGATAGATACGTATTTATTACTATTTTATTACCTGTTTTGTGGTCATTTCTGAAGATTTTCTCTGATCCTTTCTTGTCTTTCTCTCTTTTATGGTTTGCTGGTTCTCTTTAGTGATACATTGGATGTATTTCTCCTCATTCTTTCCATATTAGTGATTTTTGATCTGTGGTTATCATTAAGTTTATGTTTAACATCTTCTGCATTTAGCAGTCTATATTAAGTTGATGGTTGTTTAGGTTTGAACTCACTCGTTACACCTCTCTTCCCCATGTTTTAGGTATATGGTATCATATTTTACATCCTTTTATTTTGCAAGTTCCTTGACTGATGTTTTATAGAAATACTCACTTTTACTGCTTTTGTGTTTCCTGTTCACACTGTGTCTTTTCCCCTGAGAGATTTCCCTTTAATATTTCTTTCAGAGCTCATTTAGTGATCATTAACTCCTTTAGTTTTGGTTTGTCTGGAAGACTCTATTTTTGTTGTTGTTTGGGAAACTCTTTATCTCTCTGTTCTGAATGATAGCCTTGCTGTTCTGAATGATAGCCTTGCTGAATAAAGTATTCTTGGTTGCCGATTTTTCCCATTCAGTACTTTGAATTTATCATGCCACACCCTTCTGGTTTGGAAAGTTTCTGCTGAAGAATCCCCTGCTAGCTTTGTGGGATTTCCCTTGTATGTAACTGTATTCTTTTGTCTTGTTGCTTTTAAATTTTTTTCTTTATTACTGTATTTTGCTATTTTAATTACATTATGTCTTGACGTAGATCTATTTTTGTTGATTTTTGTCAGGGGTTCTCTATGCCTTTCTTTCTCCAAATTAAGGAAGCTTTCAGCTATTATTTCTTTAAATAAAGTTTCTTCTCCGTTTTCTCCCTCCTTTTCTTCTGGGTGTCTATAATATGAATGCTACTGTGTTTGATGGAGTTACTGAGTTACCTAAGTCTGTTCTTGTTTTGTGCAATTCTTTTTTTCTGTCTTTTGTTCAGCTTGATAACTTTCTGTTACTCTGTCTTCTAGGTCATTAATTCATTCCTCTGCTTCTTCCATCCTGCTGTTCTTTCTGATAAGTGTATTTCTTGTTTCTTTTATTAAGCTCTTTATTTCTGCTATGCTATTCTTTATCTCTGTGTTGAGGGTCTCACTAATGTCTTCCACTCTTTTGTCAAGTCCAGTGAGTATATTTATGATCATTACTTTAAAATCTCTGTCAGGCATGTTACTTCTGTTTTACTTAGATCTCTGGCTGTGGCTTTGTCCTGTTCTTTCATTTGGGACAAATTCCTCTGTCTTCTCATTTTGTCTAAGTCTCTCTGCCTGTTTCTCTGTGTTAGGAAAGTCAGCAACATCTCCTGTTTTTGAGGGTAGTGGCTTTTTGAAGAAGATGTTTTGTAGTGCCCTGCCGGGTAGTTTGCCCTCTTCTCCAGGGCCTAGCACTTCAGGGAGAACCTCCAGTGTGTGCTGCGTGTGCCCTGCTGTTGTGTCCTGGCTGCTTTATTCTTCAGGTCAGTCATCTACAGAGGCTCTCTTTGCCTATTTTAGGCAGTGTTTGGTTCCTGGCCTGAATGTGGCATGTTTTAATAGGTGTGGTCTGGTCGGTTTATGAAATGAGACCTATCACCACCTCCACTGGAACTGAGGCCCTGCCAGACTCCTGAGTGGGGAGATATGGTGTGGGCAGGGGTTTGGTTTTCTGGGGGAGGAGACACACCATCCTGGGACTGAGACAAGTGTGACTGGAAAGGACAGTTCTTCTCTGGACCACAGGGGTATGGAGATAGGTATAAATAATTTAGGTAACAAGTGTTGGCTGCACTGGTTCCCACTGGTGGCTGTGTGCTTAGGCTGAGGGGTGGGGGAGGGAAATGGTGCTTACCAGTTCCTTTGTTCCTGGTAGGGACTTTCTGTGAATGCTGCCTCTCTGGGATACACTCTGAAGTGAGCAAATCACCTCTCCATTGTGTGCCCAGGTGCTCGTCAGATCGCTGTTTCGATACTGTATGTCCATGGGTTGTTTGTCCTGCCTTCTCCACCACTGCCTCCGGTCTCTCCCCAAGCCAAGCCTGCTGATCTTTAGAACTCCAGGCTTTAAGCCTGCTGGTTGCTCCTCACAAGATTTGACCCCTCTTGCTTTCCAAGCCAATTGGTATGGGGATTTGTTTTCCTCATGTGCTCCCCTGTGTGCTAGTGTGTCTTTCATTCTTCTCTGCTACTGGAGCTTCCTCCCTTCCCACTGCAGCAGCTGATCTGTTTCGCTGCATCTCTGCACTTCCTACTTTCTTCACTGTGGCCTCTTCTCTACTTTCAGTTGTGGAGCTTGTTCTACCAGTCTTTAGATGGATTTCTGGGGTATTTAGGTTATTTCATAGTTATCTAGTTGTATTTGTGGGATGAGGTGAGCCTAGGGTCCTCCTACTCTGCCACTATGTTTGAAGACAAAGAATTTTAATTAACTCTTTCTGTTATACAATGTGGGGAAGGGATACGCTTTATAGGCTTCAGCCTTAGGAGTAGGATGTCCTTGCCTGTCTTACTTTCTCTTCCATATGTCTTCTCTTCTGCCATAGGGTCTTCATCAAGACCCCTTTAGTTTTTGGTGTACCTATCCATCCACCTTGCCCAGAAATTGCATCCCTCCATTGAAAAGAAGTCTGGGCCCTGGGGTCCTTCTTGTGTTAAGACTTTTGTAGTATGCTGGTGGAGACTTCTCTCTGGTTAGTCTTTGCCTTTCCTGAAGATGAAAAGGGCAGTTTCTGGTTCTAGAAATGGCCTTATGTCATTGAGAGTTCTGATTCCAGTTCCTTCTCTTCACAGAAGAGAGCTGCACTCAATTTCTAGCAAATATCTAAGAGCAAATACAGATGACTGTAGTAAATATTAATTTGCTTTCAAAGATAATCTAGCCTTACATGAAGCATGTTCTTTTTTGTATCGTTTTGACCCCATTCATAAAACAGTAATACTGGAATTATCGTAGTAAAGAGTTTTTGGAAAAATAATTTCATGAATATTCTTAAATTACAAGGTTTTTTTACACAGAGCCAAGAATGCATTTTTCTGAGCTATTCTAGAAGATAGCCATCTACTCAAAATCTGTTCATTCTGACATCCAAATCTATTCCCTAATACAAGGTGAGGGGTGGTAGGGAAGGTGCCTTTTTCTGTATGTTCAACAATTCTTCATAATTACTTAGAAGTAGATGGAGATTGGTCTAACTCCAGGTCCATACATTACATATTACAGATATTTTTTATCTACTCTGTGTGGCACATCTGCTGGGTGCTGCAGATAACAGTGTTGAAGCAGATATATATGGCTTTCTTTTTTTAAGAAGATATATATGGTTTTTCCCGAGATTGCCATTTTTTAGAGAGCCCTATAATTTAAAAAGAAATGTAAATGTAATGTGATAACTGTTTTGATAGGCAGAGAGGAGCTCCTCCTATAGTATATCTTTTCTGCTGTGTATCTTCAGCATTTTTTCACTGGATCTTCCTTTCCTTCAGCCTGCATATATACTTCAGTTACTTCCCTTGAAACCTGGTCCCCTTAAAACTTGTCCTTTTTCCTTTCTTCCCTCTGAAGTTCATAAAGGAATGGTTTATAATAGCCCAATTATCCACTTGTCTCTAAACTCACTGTATAGTCTGACTTACCCTTCTACTGACATAAATCTTTTGAAAGTCACCAAAATTCATTTCTCATTTTTTCAGTCTTTATCCTGTTTGATCTCATTTTACAGTGAACCATCCCTCTTTCTCCTCACTCACCTTGTCATTTACTCTTCCATTGCCTCCCTTGACAACAGTGCCTTCTCTCTTTTCTGTCATGTTCTCTGGTACTTTTCCTCCTCCTCATCCCCATATGTAGATAATTACCCCCAAGGATTTGTCTTTGACATGCTTCTGTCTTTTGCAGATCTTATTTCTTCACCTGTCACTTTTGTGCCTAGGATTCTTAAGTGAAAATACAGGATTGCTTTATTTATTAAGTATTGTATCCTCTACACCAGCTTACTTCCTGAACTCTAACTTCCCATCTCTCAATGCTTGCCTACGTCCTTCTCAGTCTTACTACTACTAATTTCATTCATATTTTTGTTAACTTCCCAGACCATTCCAAAAGCCACTGAGATTTTCCTAGCAGTTCCGTTTTCCCTAAATCCATGTACACACTGCTTCTAGACTTCTTTTGAATGAAGTCCTAATGTCTTGACCTGGTATTCAAGGCCTATCATGATCTGACCTCAGCTTACAACAGCTTAATCTCCCTTTCACTTTATTACCCATGTATCTCCTTAAGCTTCAGTCAGATACCTCTCTGTTAATATATCCAAAAGGTTGTAATGTGTTCTGTTGTGTGTCAAAGACATATCATTGATGTCATGTGTGCTTCAGATATACTAGCATCTTCAAATAAGGTAGTTTTCATTTAGTATACATATAAAAATGATAGAACATTAAGTCTCTATGTTTTAGATGCCAGCTCTCCCATATTAGACTAGAATGTGACTTTTTTGTTTTTGCTAGGAGCATTTAAAAATGCACAAAGATATGTACTAAGGTATTGTAAAGGGAAAAGCTAGCATTTGGCAGTGCTCTGGAAATTCCACATTAAGTCCTTTGTTATTTAATTAGATTTTTTTTCTGTCCTCTGAAATACTTTTTTCTTTTCACTTAACTGACCATTATGTTTAATTTCAGGCTCTTGATGGTTTTTTTTTAGCAATCATGACAGATGGAAGCATAATATATGTGTCTGAGAGTATAACTTCATTACTTGAACATTTACCAGTAAGTATCCTGTGATTTCTTTCTTGTTTAATGCCTATTTTAAATATTCTAAAGCACATGGAAGGAGATATCCAGAGCCATGTTTGAAAGGTGGTTTCTGTGGGGGATGAGAGCTCTGTATCTCTCTTTCTCTGGCGGTAACTAATATTTAGCTGCCTCTCTAACCTCTGCCCTCCTTATTCTAATGCTGTTTTCAGTGTTTTCTCTTTCTTTAATGTGTTTTTTGTTTTGTTTTGTTTGAGAGAGAGAGACAGAGACAGAGCACAAGTGGGGGAGGGGCAGAGAGAAAGGGAGACACAGAATCCAAAGCAGGCTTCAGTCTTTGAGCTGTCAGCACAGAGCCGGACACAGGCCTTGAACTCACGGACCACAAGATTATGACCTGAGCTGAAGTTGGACACTCAATCTACTGAGCCATCCAGGCACCCCTGTTGTTTGCTGTTTTATTGAACTTATATTTATTGAATATCTACTCTGTGTCACCCTCTGTGCTAGGTGCTGTGTGCAGTGCAATTGACAGTTTTTATAAATTTGAAGTTTTATTTAAAATGTAATTGTTTTTAAAAAATAAAATGTAATTGTCTTATTTAAGATGGGTGTTACAGTATAGATATTCTGAAATTACTTATAAATTACTCTTAAAATGCCCATCTCTTGAAAATTTATGACAATACAAAGTAAACTGTTCTGTAAAGGTCTCTTTCAAGAGATAGTGAAAAAGCAGTATTTCCCTCCCTCTGATTATTCTGCTACTTCATACTTCATAAAAAGAACAGTCTCCACATTTAAAAGACCAGACTCTGAAAGGACCTTATGGAAAGCCAGGTAGTAAGTAATTTGCTAATCTCTTTGGGTCACAGAGAAAATGACTTGGCTTTACTACATTTTTAAAGGGCTCTCTTTTCCACATAAGCTCAAATAGTAGGCGATTAGCCCAACATCTAAAAATTGTTTGAGAGTAAACAGTAAAATATAGCATCATGTAAGTAAACTAGTATGGACAGAGAAAAGAACAGGCTGATTTACTCAACTTTCTGGGCAGTTCTCTTTTATGAAATACTTACATGGTAAAAAAAAGCCAGAGAAGGAAACTTTTTATAGGATTAATATACAATGAAGGTAAGATTAAATAATTTAAGTTGTAATTATATGCTTTTAAACCATGTACAATAGTATTGGTTTTTCTTTCAGTTATGGATTTATAAGACTATATAATCTTTAACTTAATCATAGAGTATCATTTGCAGTATGGTCACACTTTTTAAGAGCCTGCTTTTTGGGCACTTTCCATAAACTCCATTCTGAATTAGATGCTCTTCTTCTTTGTTCTCATGTTACCTACACGTACCGCCATCATGACACAGTAAACTGTAATTTTTTTTTAGTTTGGATAATTATGGTAGGCGTAAGCTTTTTAAGTGCAAGGACTTAATCTCCCTATCTATATGGGCTAGCTAATTATTCTGAGAGGCAGTCAGTCAGTCAGTCATTATTTATTGAATATATAAAAGTGAGTAGACTATGTGATGTGGCTGTTAAAAATTCCTTCGTAATGGCACACTGCTGTTGGATCTTTACCAAGAGGATGTTTAATTCCATTTTGAAATAGCATATCTACAGCAGATCTAGTTGGGATTTAAGTGTTTGTAAGTGTTTGATCATTAACATTTCCTCCCTCAGTGAAAACCATCTTAACCTTCCCATTCCCTCTTCGATTTTTTTTTTAACTTTTAATTTTAGGACTGTCTTATTAGACTTACAGAAAAATCAGGAAGATAGTACAGAGACTTCCCTTATACCCTATACCCAGTTTCCTCTGTTATTAACATCTCCTGGGTCTTTCTCATTGTGTCAGCTAAAGCTTATAGACTGGCTGGTGAACTTTTGGGTGGAGGAGATTGCTAGTAACTAATACAGTAGACCTATTTCATTCCATTTGGAGTTAATAGTATCCTTTATTAAAACGGTTTTTTTTACTGTTCTCCAGTTACTGTGGATACTTAGCCTCACATCACTGACATTGCTGAATTGTATGTTGTTTACTGGTTTGAAAACACAAACACAAGTGTCTTTTAAAAAAAAAAATTAAGTTTGTTTATTTTGAGAGAGAAAGGGTGTGAAAGTGAGTGTGTACAGGTGGGGGAGGGGCAGAGAGAGAGGGAGAGAATCCCAAGTAGGCTCTGTGCTGACCACATGGAGCCCGACATGAGGGTTGAGCTCATGAACTGTGAGATCATGGCCTGAACTGAAATCAGGAGACAGACACTTAAATCGACTGAGCCACCCAGGCACCCCAAACACAAGTGTCTTCTGAGAAAACAAAATAAATAATACTTGTTTAGGATTGAACATAATAAGAAAAAACAACATGTGCTTTTCTATTTTGGGTTGTCATGAAAAATTAATTGTAACAAGTTGTTTAAAACAATTTCTTCGTGTTTTCACATACAAGCCTTTTCTGTCTAAAAAGTTGTCTGGAAGGAAAGAAACCAGCAAATCCCAAGTTAGGCGATAGTGTTTATAATTTAGTTCTGTTGAGAAATTAAAATTTGCCACCTTAATCATTGGTCAATATAACTTAAAAATTTTCAATTTTAATTTTAACTCTGACTATAAAGTTAAAACACTGATACCAGAGGTCCTATAAAAAATAGTTTTCTTTGTCACTTCATACTTAAGAATTTAGGCACATTTTAACCTATTTGTTGCTAAAAATCAGGAGTAGGAACTTTATTGATGGTTTTTTTTTTTTTTTTTCCTCTTGGTCTGATGTTCTTTGACAAAATGATAGGGTCATAATAAACTCAGTGTCAAAAGGGATTTTAGATCTCCTTAGCCCGGCCTCGCTTTATGTTATCAGCAAACATGTACCTGGAGAAACTGGACTTACTTGTGCAATAATTTAGTGGAAGTGCCAACACAAAAAGTTGGTCTCTTTACTGGGAACTTAAAATTGATAAAACTTAACAAGTTCAGATTGATTCCTTCACACTTGCTTAAAGGTGCTCCTAGAGAGAATATATTAAACTTGTAATTACTTAGTGCAGGGAGGATGATTAGCCGTGTTACAGAATCCAAGACTAAAAGTGCTGCTGTTAAGATACTTTTCCTTTTCTACTCTCCTTAACTTGTTAGTTTGGAAATACAAACACAAGTGTGGTTTAAGAAAATCAGGGGCTCCTGGGGCGCCTGGGTGGCTCAGTTGGTTAAGCATCCGACTT